CTCTAAAATGTAATATTAACGGATCTCGCATATGAGTGGGTAAACTGAGGAAAAAGAACGAAGCGCGTGTGGAAGGCTCACTGTTTCGTACAAACACACACACACACACACACACACACAAATAATGGTCCGATTCCAACAGCAAATACAGCGCCACTTGGTAAGGGTGTGTGTTGTACCCTGTTAATTCTTACACAATGTTTTAATCGCTGCAAGTGTTCCTGAACGCGTCTCATCTCTATAAGTAGAGCCTTGTTCATTGTCGTCCTGGTAACGAAAGGAAAGACCCCTTCAAGCTGGTGGCGTGAACGCGTTCAGAATGCCCGTTTTGTACTGAGCCTAGTGAGTCCGTAGTTAAGACGCAAAACTTGCGTCGTTACACTTTATAGCCCTCCGCACTTCGAACGCAAAGAGGCAGCGAAACCGCAAGCTGCGCTGTTCAGGGGGTGGGTTTCTAGCAGTAAGCCGATGATGTCGCAAGTTACCATCAGCCACGGGTAGCGACTCGCCGCCGGCCGCATCAGACCAGGAGGGTTTCCCGCTCTCGGCTTTGCTTCCTGCCAGGCCGGCCAGCTACAAGTATCCCGGAGTACATCTCGCTTCCTCACGGGCAGGGTCGTGGAGCGACATAACCTACAGAAAGTCGTTCTGTCGCTGTCATGAACAGCCAGATTTGAGTCGTGAATTTACCCAATAAAACTGCTCCGTGGCTTTATAGGAATGACAACCCTGAGGGGAGAATCATTACCCTTCCCTTCATTGGTCGTTAGGATGAAGTAAACCAACAAGTTCTTTTCACCCAGCAGGTATAAATCCAAGAGCTCATTAACTCGTCCATCACTGTAACATCCGCTGACAAAACCATTGCACTTTCTAGGCCTCAACAATATTTTCCTTGCTTACCACTTCACCCCAAGTTATGATACTCTACTCTCTCGTGTAGCGCTCTAAAAATGCTACAATACCCGATCTGCACATTTGCCGTCTGTTTTGTCCACGCGCAGCCCAGTTCTAAAGTGCTCCCGCCTGGCAAAAGAAAGCTATGCACGAATCCAGGTTCTGTAGAAAATAATGGACCAATTTTTCATCGCAGCAACTCTAGCCACGTCGGAACGTTCAACCACGGTCGGTGCACAGACGTAGGCCCGGCACTCCCAACGCCCACGAAAGCGTCTCGATTATCGCCGTCAGAGGCGTTCATGAGCTCGCCGACGTCTCCCACGTCCACCTCCGAAGCTTGAATCCCAGGCTCCGACAGCGTTTGGAAGCCCATGCCTCCGCTCATTGGAAGACGTCCGGTGGCGTCCGGCACTCTCTGGTTCTCGCTCTTGGACGAAGCGTCGCTTTTCGCGCTCACATCGTGCTCGGCCTCCTATCGTCGGGTAACCTTTGCTCTGACAATTACGAGCGTTCAGCGAGTTCGGTGCGTCGGTCCCCCAAAATGGTCAAGAAACGCGTCGAGAGTGACCTCCAAGGGACGCTCGAAAGCGAGAGTCAGCTGTTCGGATCCCACGTTGGAGCGCCAGACAATGTGGGTGTCCACTCTAGCCAACGCCCAAACAGGCCCCGTCTCGACCGTCCCTAAGGAGATCCCGGGACGCAAGATACAAAGGGCTTCAAAGCCCATGCGCACATCCGCGTTTTAACGGGTTTGAGTGCATTGAGGCGTCCTTGCGGCCCGAAGCGGTTGCTTGCGGTACGACGCGCGCTGTCGCGCAACGCCTTGCAACGCGCCTCAAGGGAGTCGAAACCTGCTCAACGTTGGACGCGGCAGTAGCGGCCGCGCGTTGCGTTGAACCAATCAAAAGCCAAAAAAAGAAGGGTCACGTGATCGCTCGCGCCACTCGACGATGGGTACCCAGTTCTCCGTTCCCAGAACCTGTTTTTTCGTTTTGTGGAGCGGTGGTGAATGCGCGAGCAAGTTTTTCCCAGGGTGCGTTGACTCAAGCTGGACAGAACGTCCGGGAAGCCAGCGGGATTGTTCCAAGATCGACCACATCGACGCTGACTTAGGCCGCCGTCATGCTACCGTGAATTTCGCTTACTATTTGTGAGCCGCTAGCGGCGATAGCGCGTTCTTTTTGGCTCTTGATTGCGGTCGACAGCATGTGAACGTAACTGTGTGTACAATCTCGGCGGAAGCGCTCTTCGCAAAGCTGCGCGTACGCTTGACGTTCGGGATCGCATCGCGCTCAAACGCAAATGCAGAGCTGGCAGTAATGTAATTACTGTAATGAAATTACAGTAATTTAATTACTTGTTCCAGTAATTAGTAATGTAATTCATTACTTTTTGTAGCACTTAATTTAGTAATCTAATGAATTACTCCAGCGACGGTAATTGTAATTAAATTACCTAATTACTTTTTCGCACCAGGCATATTTTTTGTGTCCACAATACACAAGAGCGCTTTTCTTTTTATTTTACTTTTTCTTTTTCCTCTACACCTTTCCAAAAAACGCTCTTTGGCCGCCGCTATGTTGCTGATGCTAATGCGGCTGGTGCGACTCTCGCGCCCGCTATCAGCTAGAGATTTTCTACCACTCTCTTGAACTGTGAAAACCCGCTCAGTGCGATTCTGTACCTATGTTTTGCGGTTTTGCATTCGACGTTTTCTGGCCCCTCTTGAAAGTTTCCGCTTACTTTTTCTGATGCATACTGCGTACCCTCTCTGTGTTATCGTCCACTGTTAGAAATAGGGCTGGTAAGTGCCTTCCCTTCGAGCTTTTCTGCTCGACATTCTGGGGAAACGAAGGAGGGGAAGTAGGTTGAACCAAGGCCCCTGGTGGAACGGCCCTCGACGCGATTTTGCGAACAATGACAAGTGTTCTCCCCCTCCCAAAGATAATCCGCGTAGGGTCCTCAGTCATTTCCAAAAATAGTTGTCCGGGTTGGAGTGGGAAACGGATCAGTCGCGTGCGTTCCTCTGTCCATCGGTAAACATGCAACAGAGAGTTCTAGCTGTGTGTCATGAACTGTGTAAATAATGTTAATAAAGTTATCTGTAAAATGAAGTTATCAATAGCTCCTTTATATTTAGAAGTATTCAAAAGTAATGCAAAAGTAATGTCATTACTTTTAAAAGTAATTTGTAATGGTAATTAATTACTTTCAGGCTGTGGTAATTTGTAATGTAATTTAATTACATTTCAGCAATTTTCAGCAAAGTAATTAGTAATGTAATTTAACTACAAAATATGAGTAATTTGGCCAGCTCTGCGCAAATGTGCGTATTGGCGTTTACTCTTTCACAGTTGGTCGAGCTGGACAGCGACTTGACCTTTCGCGATTCACTTTAAGAGCTTTGTTCTCGAGCTCGCCACCGGAGCTCTGCCCCGTGCCCCGTGGAATTTTCGTCTTCCTCTCTTTTCGCCGGCCTCGCAGCACTATCTTACTTTTTTGGAGCTTTCCGGTTTTGTAAATAATGCAGAAACCAGACACGTAACGCTGGCGACGAGGAAAACCATGGATAGTTCAGCGATCATGGCGTCAGGTGTAATTCCGGACTACACTCCTGGTACAAGTTGGACGTCCTGGAAGGAGCGCCTAAAATTCTGCCTCGAGACCAACATTGTAACGGAGCCTCCAAAGAAGCGAGCTCTGCTCATCAGCCTATGCGGGGAAGAAACATATCGCAAGGCTTGCGATTTACTTCGCCCAGAAGTGCCACCCGAGGTTCCCTATGGCGACATCATGTAACGTCTATCACGCAACTTCGAGCCTGATCCATCGGAACTGCTCGGAAGATGAAAACTTCACAAACGTGATCAGGTTTGGGTTTCCTCACGAAACCACCCCAGAATAAGTCGATGCACAGCGAGACCTTGCAAAAGGTTGCAACTACGGCACAACAACAGTCACGACCGTGATACCTGCCACGGCAATCGCACAAGCGTTGAGCGGCTCCGCTACCCAGCAATCAGAAGAGACACCGAAAGCACCTTGTAGCAGGCATTGATGACACAGGTGATGATGATGATTAAGGACTTTATGGCGCAAAATGCAACCTTGTTCAGTGCGCCAGACGAGGTTATATATTCTATTAATTTAGTACGTCGTCACCTGACAGATATGTGTTGTATTAGAACTGGCGCAAGACGTCAGCGCTAGAAATAAAACTAAGTACACAATCAAGTGAGATGAAAGAGTAATCTCCCAGTAAAACTACAGGGCGAAAGTATATATGATACCTAAAAACTCGGTAAAATTATGCTGTCGTTTTTCTTCAAAACCAAAGCAAACTCCTGAAGTACGGTATGTAGGATGGACAACACAATCTCGGCAGTGTGCACACCGTGGTAGATGTTCGCCACAAAGGAGTTATTTGGGGGCGATATGTGAATGACCTATACAAAGAATACATAATCGAACTTTCTTAAGGCGGTTCCTGGAAAAGGTGCACTCTGCCACAACCCTAAGATGGGCAATTGGTGAAGTGAAGCTTATTGTCAGACTCCTTGTCCCATTCTGTCTGCGATCTATGTAAAATTGACGCGCTCACGACTGGTTTAATGTCCTGGTAGGCTACAGAGGCTGCTAATTGCTGAAGTTTTCTAGATGAGGAAGCGAGCCTCTCGTTGCCTAATATGCCCACGTGACTCGGAGCGCCACAAAATATAAGACAGTTTCAGTTATTTAATGCTCTATTAATCTGGGCACGTAAAAGCTGTACGAGCATTTTGCTGGCGTCTTTCAAGGAGATAATGGCAGTGATTACACTTTGTGAGTCTACAGATATAATGGGCCTTTCTATTTTCTTGAGTCCTATGTAATCAATCGCTAACAATACTGCATACAGTACCGCTGTAAAAATGCTTGCAATTGAATGAACCCATTCAAACCTAGAAATGTTCTCCAAGTGCATAGTAGCAATATTTTGTATCAACATGAGAAATTTGTAATAGCATCGTTGCTCTAACTATATTTAGAAGATGATAAAAATCAGCATTCTAGCTGGTGCAAATAATAAATGATTTTATATCCAAGATCATTTCTTCCAGGTGAAGGAGTTGAAAGGTAAGGTACCAAACCCGCTATTTTTCAATGGTGGAGACTTCTTTCAAGGCACCATCTGGTACACCGTTCTCAAATACAACATTGTTGCTCTTGCAATGGAGAACATGATGTATGACGCTGTGGTAAGTGGGACCACGCAATTAAAGTTTTATCCTGCGCGTTACGTTGTGAAAATGTATTAATACTTCTTTCAAAGTTGTTTCTGCTCATATAGGAATCACTTGATTTCCGCTTTCAACTCTTTCATATGCGTTTTTTTTTTTTTTACATCCTAGAAAGGTTTCACCGTATCGTGTACACATTTAGTTTTTGCCGCCCTAGTCCAGATAGCATTTGGAATGAGCAGAGTAGAGGTCTACGGTCGCAGTAATAAGATCCGCGCGGTGCTTGTGTAAAATCGTAATAAGAGTAGTCGTACTGTACTCCTCATCTTGCCCATCAAAAGCGGTACAGAGGCGCCAGGCATAATCTTATGGCAAGCTAAATTCCAAAATGAGCTTTATAAAACAAACAAAACACTTGACTAGTTTCCATGATCTTAGTTTACAATTTATTTTTACAGCAAAGCTGCTAAGGGCTTGTTTCCCCAAAATCGTGTCGGGTACCAAACGAATGTCGACACAACACTCTGGTTACCGCCGTCGCTCATAGATGGCGGTAGCTTCCCAGAGTGTTGTGTTTGCCGGTTGTCTGCATGCCGCCGTCGCTCATAGAAGGCGGCAAGATTTCTTCGGAGGAAGAGCGGGAACGGAACGAGCGGCGAGGTACGCAGCAGCGCGAATGGTTCCGCAACCGCCGCGAGGCCACTATTGCCTAAAGTTCCACTGCGTCAAGCGCTTCAGATTCCCTTGCGAAAGAAGAGCGGATCGCCCGCCTGGAAAGCCACCGCCGATAACAGAAGGTGCAGCTCCGCTGCTCTTCCTTCTTCACCAGAGCGGAAAGGCTGAAAGTTTTTTATGTCAAAAATATATCGGGAATTATAATAAATGGCTACCTTATTTGGTACATCGGATGACGCTGTTTTGGCTTACCTGATGAAACCATGTCAAACCAGGCTGGCGTAAAGATTCCACAGCATTTATTTCCTTCATAATTTATGCAGGCATCTGAAGGTCGTTAGAAACAAGGGGGAGCTATATTTATCGGCAAAATATCTTAATAAAGCAGAACTAGAACACGCAGAAAACACAAAAGACGCGCGATAAAATACTTCATCATTTCAATGTCAAAATTGCCACTGTCATTGACTGCATCTATGAGTGATGGAAGTCATTGCCAGTCAGCGGAGGATTGCGCGGAAAAGTGCGATAAGAAGGAGAGGTGTAAACACAATATAACGTCAACGAAACTTTTTTTAAATGAAGTGTTACCTCATATTCAAACGTAATGTAAAACAAACGTCAGTAAGAATGTATTCTGCTAAAACAAATGTCATATATTTCATTGAATGTGTGGATAGAGATAGACAGCGTGAAATAACGTAAATTATTTAGTATTGAAGTAGAGACACAATCGACCACACCGACGCTCGGGGTGACCACATGGAAAATAAGAATGTTACGCTGAAATATTGTTGCAGAAGGTTTTGAGCCAATCGTACAGAATGCAAGTCTATATAGGTAGAAGTTAAGACAGAGGATGAGGTGAGAGCGTGAAGGGACGTCAGAACACCGAGCTCTGCTTGGAATGATTAGTGGATAGACGCAAAGCTATCTCCCGTTGTCTCTACTCACTGTTCGAGGGCGTTCGGTGAATGAGTACAGACAAAGCTTTGCGTTTACCCATTAATCATTCCAACCAGAGCTGGGTGTTCTAACGTAAACGCGCGCAGCCAGCTCCTCCTCCTTCTCAATTTCTGCCCGTATTAGTCCTTCCTTAAACGCGAAACCTCCCGAAGAATAGTTAGATAAATGCTTCAAGCGCCAGCTCCTTGCTTCATAATGTGCCCCGCCTGCACGACCGCTCGTGTACCGACGGCATCCACTAAAGACTATAAGGCTTATTCCTCCCGAACCGAAAGTTCCTGCTGCAGTTTGTATAAGATGAGAGTGAGCATTGTATATAGATATTTTCTATTTGTTGCAAATGTCTTTGCGTTTTCCCGGCACCCTGGGCTTACCTCAGCAATACTCGCTTTAGCTTGTACACACAAACCTCTCACGCTAATTTCATTAATTCAAGAGTTCATATAACCTTAGCATAATCAAAATTTTGTTCCTGCTTGCGGCAGTAGAAAACTTGAAGGATCACCACTCTGCTTGGCGAGACAAATCCTTGAGGTGGCAGCCTCCAAAACTTCTTGACACAAATAGATCGTTGTACCTGTACGCCCATATCCTACTCTTCACTTTTTTTTTTCTGACTTTGTGTCTGTCATTTTTTCTCTTAAAGAGGCATTAATTTGAACTTTGAGATCGTATGTTTATGGTGTAAACTCTACTTAAGTGCCCTAAGCATTCCAGAAAACTAAGATTTTATATCATTCGTGGCTGTTTTTCCTATTAATAAACATTGGGGAAAGCTTCTTTTCCAGAGATTAACCCAAGCAGAAAAGGGCGTGCCGCAATGTTTTGCAGTGTTTTTATAAAAAAAAAAAATAGTCCTCGCATGATTGTAATTTGTGGATTCCTGGCGTACTTAGAGTGCGAGGTTGAGTTGGCTTCATAAAACGCCAATCTCAAAATTCGCTCCAGTACTGTCTCTCCTGGGAGCCCGCTTTTCCGACTGCATGCGGGGAGATGCACTGGCATTTCAAGCTTATTTACATGCATTTGTATGTTTTTGGTAACTGGTGGTCCCAGCTTCCTGTCAAGGCCCATTACAAGGGCCCTCGTTCGTCCGAAGGGTTATTATATCTGTTTCTTGACAAATTATTTTTGATTTTAACGGAATGTTCGATTTTGCGAGTACTTTCCTCAGCAATATTTTTCCCTATAAATTGACAAACAAAGCACAAAAACTTTAGAATTGTGGTTACTTCATGGCAAGTTTTAAATGGGATATAATGTGTAAGATAACCGCCTGGTGTCTCCACGCATCTGAGTAATCCATGGGAAACTCAAGAATTACGAGCCTTGCACTAAACAAAAAAGACGGCAAAAATATTGTTTTCGCAGCTTTCTGCATGTGAGACTATATATTTATTTTAGTTCATTCATTTTAGATGAAGCTTTTCATAGAAAAGAAAACACATTCATTAGGTAGCACACCAAAAAACATCAATATGCAAGAGCAGCGCCGCAATCTGCGTTTTTTGCTGGCGTACAAAGCAATTAGACAAAGAAAGTATACAAAATAAAACGTACTTCTCTACTTTGTCTAAACAACTTTGGTTTACTTAGCATATGCACCACCTTTCTTTACATGTACAAATTATTTTACATGTTAAAGACACGTTGTATTTGGTTGCAACGTATTGGATTGAACAGCATCAGTAGGTAATTTGTATTATATTTTTAGCCATAAAGTATAGTTTGTTCATGCACTTCTAAATCGGTGAAAAAACATTAATTTTCCTTCGGACATGTCACATCTGCATTTTTTTTTCAGTTGTGATCATTGTTTATTTTACATTCTACAATTACAAGGCAAAACATGAGTTTCTTTATGGTTAAAGGATACATCTAAAATGTCATTCGACAGTGTCTCGTTACCTAAAATCACGTGACCGTCGCAGGCCCAAAATCAGTGGTGGGGTGGTGCCGCCGAGATAGGTCACGCGCACGTCATTGTACCGTGTGCCGACGGTACTTCAATAAAGCGAAAAGGGGTCATTTTTCGTATCGCCCGTTATTTTCCATAAGCGGCCGAACTAAGCAGTTTCTTATATAATAAAAGGTAAGCGTAGACACAGCGCTTAAATAGTATAGAAAATATTACTGCACATTATAGAAATGTTTCGTAGAAGTGATATAAGAATGAAACCTTCACTGCTGTAATTAAACAGCATAAAATTTACAACTATGTTGTCTAATTTGCCCTTAATATACGTAATCATTCGCAGTGGCATTGTGGTGTTCTTTATTATTATATTCCTTAAAGAAAGGTGATAACATTTACGTGACAGAACCTCTGAGTGACAGAGAGGAAGTGAACAAAATGTAAGGGCGCAAACGAGCTGGTGTACATTGCACATGGCTGAAAAAAACCCGAGACTGCGGGTAAACGACACAACATTAAAAAGTCCCCAAGAAACTTTTTAGTGTTGCGTCGTTTACGTGCAGTCTCGGGGTTTTCTCAACCAAGAGAGGAAGTTAGCTATTTGTACGTGTCCAGAGAATTCAATATTTCTGATATTACAGTGCCAAATTGCTTGATTTGCTCTTAGTGTCTGGGTAACCACGAGTTTGACGACGGTCCTGAAGGCCTCGCTCCTTTCCTGTTAAGAATGATGGCAGCTAATGTGACCGTTTTGGGCACCAACTTGGACACGACAAAGGAAGATATATTCATACAGAAAAACATCACTGTATTGAAGCACAAAATATATGAATTCAATGGCGTGAAGATGGCCGTCATGGGAGTTGTTACTAAGGAAACACTAACGATTGCTAGACCAGGTTTGTATTTTTCTTTTTGTCTATTGTAACGCTCTCTCCGTAAAACGGCGCTAACGTCGGTTTACGCATTTATACTAAGGCCTTTCTCTTGTTACATGAAACTAGGGTCATAACTTCATGCGCTTACTTTTTGTTTAAAACTTAATTTTACGACACCCTGTAACGTAAAGGCGTTTACAATTATATCACTATGCTCATTTCACAATTTAGATGAGACTAGAAGCTCCATCTTCAGCGCAAGCTTTCTGCCCTTGATAACACAGGTGTGAAGGCGCAGGCACGCAACCGAAGCCACCGAACTCACGCCGAAGGCGGAGCTTTTATACTTGGTTTCAGCTTACGTCCGAGCGTGGCCGTTCTTATGAGCCAAAGGTCCAATCGCAGAGCGTAAAAAGCGCAACGTCGTGGTGTTCTCCGCTCTTGATAGGACAAGCTGGCGGAGGAGCATGCACTGAAAGACGGCGAACACCCTTCTGGTCCTATCGACTGCGGAGAGCACGCCATGACAGTGCGCCTTTTCCCCCTTTATATTGGCCCTTCGGCTCATAACATCGGTCACGCTCAGTCCTAAGGTGAAACAAAGTATGGTCGCAGTTTAAAGGTGAACAGAGTATATTGTATATTCGGTATAAAAAGGTCGTGCTGAATTTTTTTGTTGCTGTGTTTAATCGTATAGCATTCTTTATCTACTCCTACCCGGGATTTCTGGACTTTGTCTACTTTTGGACTTTCTGGCCTCCTCGTATTCAAACACTCTCACATTTGCAACACCATCCAAGGACTTCACGACCTTGACGTCGTCCTAAAGGTCGCCCTAAAGGGCTGTTTATACTCCAACGTCGACGAACGCAACGCACGCCTGCGCAGATCGACGTTCGTCGGCCACTACGTCGCGTTGAGAAGCGCCCGAACAAGGGTGTTTACAGTCCAGCGTAGACCAACGCTGGTCCAGCAAGGGGTCCAGCGCGCCCCGACGAACTGCCCCGCTTTGCGCATGCGCGTCTCCGTGGCAACCGCATCGTCTGTACGGGTTATCTATGAGCGGTAACTTCCGCTACCTAGCCTACATGCAATCGGTCACTGTGGTTCGTCCTTGTGTTGTCATGTCACGCTACAAAACAACCATTCAAGGTAGCGGTTAGCAGTTAAAAACAAGCAAATGATCGTGATAACGAGTACAAACCAGCATTTATTTTCTGATAATTGTCACACAAGTGTCAATAAAAAACAAAAACGAAAAAAAAAAAAAGCCTGATATCGCGTTTGTCGAACCTAGCTGTTTCGCATGTTCGCCGGAATCGTGCCAAGCGACTCCGGCGATTCCGCCGGAATGCTTCGATAAAATCGATGCACTCGATATTCCACAGAGACCTCTTTCTGACATATATTCGGTGTGTTATCATCATTGTAGACTTTCACGCGGACTTAAGAAAGGGACACCGAAGAGAGCGGACGATACCTAAATTACGCAATGTACGCGTTCGAAATTGTGACGCACTTTACAAAGCAATACATGATGCAGTCCAATTGTCATAGCGTACCGCTACTATCGTTTACAAGCTGAGACCGTTTACCCAAGCTGAGACAGCCCAACTGAAAATTTCTGGCCGGCTAAATAGTTCAGAGGTTTCACTCCGCCGTTCCCGTACATTCGACGACGCTTATTCGATCGGGAACCACCGCCGGTGAGTGCGACTAGCACATGATTATAAATAGCAGACACATTAGGTTATCCTTAATTCTAATTAACCCCACCTTGGGCGCGTCATCGAGCTTCCAGCTATTGCCGGCACCCCAACAACACGGCCCACCACCACCTGCTCGTTAGCTCGATAGGCCTATCGAGAATCGAGGGTAGCGCATCCTGGGAGCAGTCCACGTCCACGCACACACTCGTCCAGTCAAGCGCATGAACGTTAAATACGCACACCAACACGGGAACACGACAACAGTACGCGACACACAGCAAGAATGACAAGTTCAGATCCCAGAAATGAGCCTCTCGCACACTGCGACTGGCCCCGACAACCGGATTCCCGAATGAGCTAGGCACTAGCGGGAGGGACGTCCAACGTTGAACTTAGTGCATGTCCAAGTCCGTCGCAAACTGCGCTGGCACGCGTCCAGCTGCTCAGCGAGGCGCCGCGTTGAACTTGACGTTGGAGTATAGAGAACCCGTTCGCAGACAGCTTCAGCGAGCGTGAACGAGCGCGTGCGCTCGTTGACGTCACGACGGAATATAAATAGCCCTTAAAGATTGTCCTTCAGATCGGCCTAGAGATCGTTCTAGACGTCGTCGTTGACATCATCCTTTAGGACGTCGTCCTTAAAGGGACACTGACAGGGTATTTATGCTCGCCAAGGTTTTTATTTGTACGTTACATATGAGAGCCCAACTACCCAGGAAAAAATTTCTGGCTCAAAATTCGTTTTCATTTTGACCGAAATCAGCCGATCGAGAACTGCCGGTTTCAGTCGCACTCACTCTCCTCCCCGTGGCCACTTGCTGTTTTTTAGGGTTTAGGTACAACCAACAAATATAATCAAAGTCGTAGGTCATTGAAGGCACGCACACAATATTAAAAATGGAAAAGAAATATGATACCCATTTTTGTGGCTTCTAAAAATCTTCAAATGCGTTGTTTGGGGGGAAAGTATCACGGACACGTGACCTCCGCCACCTCTCTCCTCCTCTATATTTCTTCTTCCTCCCGAGTCCAGTTTCGGTTTCGGTTTCGAGCAGTTGCGTTTTTTTTTTTTTTTTTACTTTATTAAAAATATACGTGACGCTGTAGCAAACTACTGACTGGGTAGTCCTTGGACACCATAATAAACCACCTAACTAAAGACAAAAAAAAAAAAAAAGAAAGCCGTTTACAACTAACACCAAATTGGAGCGCAACTCTTGAGGAGGGGGAGGGAAGGATACTGAGGGGAGGGTATACAACTCCTCCCTCCACCTCCCTCGTGATCCTGCCTGCTACTTCTCCCCTCTTCCTCCTCCTCCACCTCGGGGGGGGGGGGGGGGTCACGTGACCCCTCCCCAAGGTCACATGGGGGTCACGTGACCCCCAGAGAAATTTTTCCTCTAGATTTAGCGAGAAAATTTTTTCGCTAGATTTAGCGGGGAAATTTTTCCGCTAAAGTTAGCGGGAAATTTACCCGTAATGCACCGCGCGGTTACGCCGACGCCGACGCAGCTCAAGCCGGAAATGGGCGCCTAAGAGCTGCGCTCTAAAATTGGGGGTGTCAGTGTTCCTTTAAGGTCGTACTAGAAATCGTCCTAGACGCCGTCTTTAATGTCGTCCTCTAGGACTTCATGCTCGACGTCATCGTGGATGTCGTCCTTGGGTTGTCCTAGACCAGAGGTCTTCAAACTTGCCAAGGGGCCGGATTGGAGACCCGTCGCAGTCTCGAGGGCCGGGAAACAAATAAATATTATAAATCAGTAAAAACTATATTAATAAGCCCAGATGAGCTTTTAAATAGAGGAGCTCAAGTTAGAATAAAAGCGAGAGGTAATCAAAGGTGGATTAATATATATACAGGGTGTCACAAAAGAAAATTTACACGGTCTTTTTTACCGCAAAAATAAACTAGGCATCGCCGAACGCTCATTCTCCGCCCAAAGGTAGCGCTAGAGGTCACAACCAGATGCCAAAGTTTCAGCCCGACCCGATAACTTGATCAAAAGTTATAAGTGATTTTTTGAAAATTTCAATGGGAAAATGGCGGCCGACGGAGTTTTCAAACACATGCGGCTCTATGGCACCAGAAACCGAAAACAGACTAAAATGGGCTCGATTTTCCCATTGTAATTTTCAGAAAATCACTAATAACTTTTGATTAAGTTATCTGATCGAGCTGAAACTTTGGCATCTGGTTGTGACCTCTAGCTCTACCTTTGGGGGAGAATGAGCGTTCGGCGATGCCTAGTTTATTTTTGCAGTAAAAAAGACCGTGTAAATTTTCTTTTGTGACACCCTGTACTTTATTTCGAAATTCAGCATATAGGTAATTATGACATGCGATAAGTGTGACCCAGAAAACTCACCAGGCATAAATCAAAGCGCATAGGAACTCTGGAATATTCGCACAGATAAAAAAAAAATATTGAGAACGGTAAAACTGTTATGACAATATGCAATAGTTATCACACATGACTCATATTGCCGCGCGCAGGGCTGAGAAAGCAACGCTCGGTCACGGACCTCTAGAAAGTTCTCGTTTATTCTTGTTCCAGACGTAACTTCTATCATTTATTCCTGCTTTTGTTTTCTAGAAACTGCCTGTTCATTCTCGCCTGGAGCGCGCGACGCTCGAGCCGCTTTCGCGGAATCTTCGGGATAGTGACGCACTCTATAGATAAGAGGCCGCCCGCGACGTTGTCGAGTCAGTTTCGCCTCAGCGTTCGGTCTTGCTGCTTCGCCGCCTTCGACGCCCGCGACGCTCTGTTGTTATATTTCTTTTTTCCTTTTATTTTCGGGCACAAGTTCACCCCATTAAACGTTCAGTTTATTCAGTCATTCGTCGCCTCATCACTTGTCATTCGGGACAATATTGTCACGGGTGGTGACAAAAAAAACAATAAATAAACAGAAAGAAATAAACTTTTAATGTGGCGAACTTGTGCCAAAAATAAAAGGGTACAAAAGAAAACAGCACAGCGTCGCGGGCGTCGATGTCGGCGAAAACGCAGGATCGAGCGCAGGGGCGAGACTGACTCGACAAGGTCGCGAGCGGCGTCTTATCTAGAGTGAGTCACTATCTCGAAGATTCGGCGGAGAAGGTTCGAGCGTAGCGCGCTCGGGGCGAGAATGAACACGCACTTTCTAGAACAACATAAGCAGGGATAAACAATAGGAGTTATGTCCTGAGCAAGAATAAACGAGAAAGTTCTAGAAGTCCGTGACCCTGCGCGCGGCAATATCACAATATACACGAGAACGCAAAGGAATTTTTATGTAGTTGCAGATATGAAGCAGGAGAACTAAAAACGG